GGCGCGCATCGCTCACCCAGTGTGCGGGAGAGAGGCGGGCGGGCGGGAGGAGCAAACGGACGGGTCCCGGATCCTCCGCATTAGCTGACAGCACAGCCGGGGCACGGCCGATCGTGCAGGGTAACGTTCCTATGGCAGAGTCTGAGCGTGGGGTACCGGCTGATTTACCGGCTGGACGATTCGGTTCTGCAGCGGTGGTTGGGCCGGGAGCCTCCAAGGGAGCGCGCTGGATCCGCAGCCCTGGGGGTGACAGCGAGCACGGCGATCTCTGGCCTCTGATGCAGGGCAGGATCAGGCAGCAAACGGCCTTTCCCGATCCCTTCTCAGGTGTTTCCCAGAGCCAGTGGGTCCCACCCAGGACAGCACCTCGAAGGCCGCGGTGGTTTAGGTAGGTCAGTGGGCTGAATTCCTTCAGCAGAGGCGCTGGCTGTGCCTGCCAGAGCTCAGTGCCATGCAGATCACAGAGCTCGGTGTCAGGGAGGGCCATGTGTGCCCGTCGCTCAGAGCTCCGTGAAACGGGTCCGGGCAGAGGAGGGGAATGCCTGTGTGTAACAGGGTGATGCGGTGCCTCGGGTTTGCTTGTTCAGGCAGTGCCACTGATCCAGAACTTCCACTCTTTTTTTAGGAGAGCTGTTTCTTTTGTATTCTGTCCTAACAAAGTGGCTGCTGTGCTCTTCTAGGTGGCACAGGCCTTGCACGTGTCTCTGAAAGCCAGGCTTCTGCCATAGACACTCTTGGGGGACTCGCTGTGCCTGGCTCTGGCCGGTTCCCGGCTCAGAAGTGTGACAGCTTCCGCAGATGAGGGTGGCTGCACTCCCCAGCACGTCCCTTGGGCACACCCACCAGTCACGCCAAAAGGAGCATGTGGCTTCTGACACTAAACTACAAGTGTCTCTTTTTTTTTTTTTATTTTATTTATTGTAATTTTCTTTTGAGGGAAAAATATCTTTTGGCAGCACGCAGCTGTCACTCTTACAAATTGACTGGTTGTCAAAGGCCTTCTGAGTCATCTCCTTAAGGGTGCTGTCTCTTGTGAGACTCTTCCATGCTCTGTTAGTTGAATTAGCGTGACCCACTGTCTCCTGTCCAAGATCAGCATATCTGCAGATGTGGCTTTTTTAGTATATGCAAGTACAACTACAGTAATTTGAGTAATTCTCTGAACTGGTGTGTATATGAACTGGTGTACAAGCTGTCTAGTCCAAATCCCTAGCTCTGATGTTGCTTCTCCTATTGACAGAAACACTTAATCCTTGTAAATTATTTAGGTGGCATTTTCACATGCCAGACCTAAAAGGATTAAATAGCATGTAACTGTAGGGCAAAAGCCAACCCAGCTATATATGTGTTTTGTTTCAAAAATAAATGTCGTACTTGATCAAAGTAATCTGTCTGGTAGCTTTGAGCCATCCGGCTTGTTTCGGTGCAGCATCTGCCGGGCATCCTTCACCCTGAGCAGCAGTTCCTCCTGCGAGCAGGGGCATTACCCCCAGGCACCCTGGGGGGATCACAGGAATCTCATGCATGTGGCTGGCAGGGCGTATCTGCGGTTCACAGACCAGCACCTCATTTCTGGTCACTGACTTAAGCTGTGATGGACGTTAGGACTGTAGTCAGCTGCAAAAACACCAGTTTGTAACTGTTGCGTTAATGACAAGTTGTTGCCTGGTAGAGATTACTGCAGGACTCCTGCTTTGTTAGGTAGAGCTCCCTCTGTTTACGTGTCCTTCAGGACCTCGGGTCTAACCAAGCTCAGGTCTTAAACTTCTTGACAGAAAGTAAAAATCCCGGGTGAGTTCCAGACACTCCCTTCCTCTGCAGGTTCATCAGTTGGAACTTTCAGAGGTTTCCAAAACTGTGTTGGAAGTGTTCTTGTAGTTTAAGCCTGTGATTACAATTGTGTGCTGGCTTTGCTGGGATAGAGTTACTCTTCCTCACGGTGGTGGGTATGGGGCTGTGTTTTGGGTTGTGCTGAAATCGGTGACGATAGCACAGGGCTGCCACGGTCGCTCTGAGCGCGCTGGCATGGCTCCCCGGGCAGCCCTGCCCCACGCCCGGCCCCACCAGCGAGGGGGCCGGAGGGCACAAGGAGCTGGGGGGCGCAGCCGACCCAGGGGTGTCCCAGCCCGTGTGACGTCCTGCTCCACGGTGGAA